GGGGGGGCAGCTTGGAGGAGCAGCTCCAGTGGGGCGGGGGGACACCAGCTGGGGAGGAGCTCCTCTCTGGGGAAGGAGCTCCACATGTGGGCGGGGTTGGCACCGTGTTGGGTGCCACGTGCCTGGTGCACCGCCCACTGGCCCACCCCCCGTGCTCTGAAACTACTCCGCACCCATGTGGATGGACGCGGCGCCATCTCAGCACCACGGTAATGCCAGAGAGCGCAGCCTCTGAGCAGGGATCTTTAAATACACACGGAGAGCGGGCCAGCCTTCGTGCCTCGCATTCGTGTTGACCACCCCGGTGCACAGACGCGGTCCTGGTCTGCAGGCTCTGGGGGAAACCCGCCTGGCGGCGCACACACAGGACATGGTCCCCTGCGCTGCGGCTTGGCCCAGCACGGCACTGCCAGAGCCACCTCTGCACCCCGAAGCTCCTTCCAGACTCCCCCTCTTCTTGCGTTTTTAGCCCACCACTTCTCCGTCCCGTGGTCTGTGAGCCAGGCAAGAACACAAGGGCAGAAGGCACAGACACACAGGGGCACACGGTGCATGGCATGAGAAAGGAAGCGTGCGGAGCAGGGGGGCACAGAGGAGGAGACGAGACGGCAGCGCAGGGCCCCGAGACCAGAGGAAGCATAGGCGAACCACAGCTTCACGCCAGGTGAGTGCCCGGGCACTGGTGGCCAGACCACGAAGCCAGAGTGCATCAAAGCACGGGCTACGGCAGGACTGCGTCCCGGGAGGTGGCGGAAGCCATCCTGCCCACCGTGCAGCTCGCCTCCTCCAGGGACCATTGGCCTTGCTGGGACCGAGACCAGATACTTCAGAAAATGGCTCTTTATGACAAGCAACAGAGAGGCCTCGCTGAGCACAGATGCCCACAGCACCGACTCGGGCTGCGGGTGCCACTGGGCCAGGCGGAGGCCATGTGGGAAGGCTCAGGTCCCCGTCCCAGTCCACCCGGCTGCTGCAGGGCTGGCTGAGGACCACGGTGTGAAGACCCGAGGGAGGGAGCCCCCCACACCTGTCCCCATGTCCCCATCCTCTCTCCCCTGGAGAAAGTGAGCGCATAAACATGACGTCGTTGTACGCGGCGAAGGCTGA